AGGATCCTTCTTTGTGTTTCCAGGTCCTGCTCACCCACAGCTCCGTGCTGCCAAAGCCTTCAGCTCTGGAGAGGCTGAGAGATCCCAGACTGCTTTGGGTTGAAGGGACCTTAAAGCTCCTCCAGCTCCACCCCCTGACACAGGCAGGGACCCCTTCCACTGGAACAGCTTGCTCCAAGCCCCTGTGTCCAACCTGGCCTTGAGCACTGCCAGGGATGGGGCAGCCACAGCTTCTCTGGGCACCCTGTGCCAGCGCCTCAGCACCCTCACAGGGAAGAGCTTCTGCCTAAGAACTCAGCTCAGTCTCCCCTCGGGCAGGTTCAAGCCATTCCCCTTGGCCTGTCCCTACAGGCCCTTGACCAAAGCCATGGGACTGGCTCCGGTACGGTGCTCACCAAGCTGCACCTATCTCAGCCCTCCTTAGCATCAGCTAAGACCTGATGCTCCAAACCAAGACACAAAGCAGAGAAACAAACCAGGATGTGAAAAGGGGGAAAAGAGGCAAGATGGGGATAAAGAACCACAGCATGAGCCTGACCTGGGACAAACAAGCCCAGACAGGATCCTCCCAGCCCCTGCAAGGCACAGTGTGCCTGCAGGAGTCACTTTTCATGTGACATTCCTTCTGCTGCCCAAGGGAGCACCCTGATCCCTTCGGTCACTTGAATTCCCAGGGCTTCCCCTGGACCCCAGCAGTGCCACGATCCAGAGGGATCAGAAAGAGGCACTGGGAAAAGGAATGGACGCTGCCTGGCCTGGCTGCACAGGGTCAGAGAGCTCAGTCACTGCTTGCTCCTGGCAGCCAAATCAGGTGAGGAGCATATGAGAGCAGGCATCGCGGAGGCCTCGGCGGCTGGTGGAAATTTCCAGAACGTCCTGGACAAGAGTGACTTACTGGAAGCAATACATAAATCACGCAATGAATAGTTACCAGACAGCAGCATAAACAGCTGCCACGGGGATGAAATCAGACCTGCTGTGCCAAGAGGCGTCAGCCTCCTCGCCGGCTGCACCTTCGGGGGAAACGGGGAAAACAGCCCAAGGAAAAGCCCATCCCTGCACACACCGCAGCCCCCGGTCCTGCACAGGAGCCCCAGTGCGCTTCCCGAGGCTGCTGGCACAGAGCACACCATGGTGAGCACTGGGGATGGGACCCGGCTCCCATGGGATCTGCACAGTGCAGGCCGGGAGCAGGGCACGGCGCTGCCAGGGCTGGGATTGCTCCATCAGGAAAACAAGCACCGTCTTCTTCGTGTAGGCAGACCTGGAAGAATCTTACCCTGCTCCCCTTTGCCAGCATCCCCAGTTCAACAGAGCACAGCCCCTCCGAAACACACCTCACTCCTGCCCCATCTCGACAACGGGCTGTCACAGAGGGTGGGATCCAATGGATGCCCAGGCTGTGGCTGATCACAGCCACCCCACGCAGCCCATGGAAACCATCCATGCTGATAAGTGGAAAACACTTTGTGCTCAAGATAGCAATCACTGTCATGTTGGTTGTAACACATAAACTAGAAAACACCACCGCAGCAAAAGCAAAGGGAACTGGTCCCTGCTGGCCAGCCCACAGTGATGAGTGATTGAAGATAATGCTGCTAAACACATGTACACCTTTCTTCTGCAGCACCCTTCGTGGTTCTGACCTTTTGCCAGGAGAGGAGTGGACCTGCAGGCCCTGCTCCTTGGGCCAGGGGATGCACAGAGCAGCAGCGATGCATGGAGTGATGCAGAGCTGCAGGAGGATCTCAGGAGCCCCACTGAAAGGTGCAGAAGCACAGCACCATCTGTATTGGAGAACCTAGATCTCACTGCCAGAGAACAAAGCAAGGCTCAGCTGTCAAAGTGTGCCCATGCAAAATCAAGTAATTCCTCAATGCCTGAAGCATCATCAGATCGAGCTCCTCCTGCTCTGCTCTCCAAAACACTCCCTCCTTGGTGAGAAAGTACACTAAAACAGGAGAAGACAGGGATGGTATCTCTGTGCCTCTGCTCCGTTTCAAGTTATTTGGCAGGGATAAAAAAGACATGGTTTAATCAGAGCTGGCACCTGGGGTTGATAAAAGAGCACTGGAAACAGCAGTGCAGCCGCTGTGGGAGATAGGTGCTGGCCAAAAGGGTATATCTGCAGGAAAACAGCACCAAAGCACGCGAGGAGCGTGCTGCTCGGTGACTGCTGCGGGACAGGCTGCACCCAGGGCGCTCTGCAGCACCCAGGCAGTGCCGATTTCCTCGTTTCCTAGCTAGGAACAGTGGGGATAAAGAAAACACCCCAGTATGAAGAGGAAGCAAACCCTGAGGATGGTGTGAGGAGACCTGCACCGTGCAAAGCTCAAGGCTGCTGCCCCGATGGGCACAGGGAAGGGTGGGCATAAACCACTAGGAAATGATGCTGGGAGAGCAGGGAGCCACCAGTGTCCCAGGGCACTCATCACCTGCCCTGGCACCAGTTCTTCATGTACCTTTGAAAAAAGGGTATTTCTCCTCCTTAAAGCAGGGAATGAGGAACACTCACCAACCATCCCTGCAAACACCAGAAGCTCCACGGATTAACAGACTGACTAAGCAATAGTGATGCTGGTAACTAAAACAGCTACAAGAAACAGGAGAAGAGACCTCCTGGGCTTGTCCTTCCATTCTCTGAAAGACACGGGCTATTCTGCCCCAAGACAAGAGAAACCAGGTGGGTTTTAAGATCATCCAGAGCCTCACTGGCTCCAGGGGCCTGTTGGCAGGACCAGTGGATGCAGGCATGGGGCTCACTGGGATGGGGTGGACTGCGGGTGTTCAGGCTTTCCTGCAGAGACCCCCTTGGACAAGGATCAGAACAAAGAGCTCGCCTCTCTTTCAGGAACAGTAAATCACAGCGGCGCTTATTGCAAGCATCCTGACAGGATGAGCATGTCCCAGGAAGGAAAATAAAAGGTTGCATCTACTCATGGGTCAGAGAGTAACATCATAACAGCAAGTTTCACTGGAACCAGGGTCTGCAGAGCAGGGGACATTTGCAGCATCACATTCCCAAGGAGGGAGCAGGAACTGCTCACATTCTGTATTACACAGCAGGTAATTGCCTGCACACATGAACAGGAGACCAGAGGCAGCACAAAAAGGCTCAGAGATGCAGTAAGACACAGAAATCAACTTCATTGTCTATTCACATCCTGCCTGTGCCTGTCCCTGGGACCTGTCCTCCATCCGCCTAGCCCTCCTTCCCCCTAGAGCCAGAGCAGGACCCATAGCACCTCCCTGCTGTGCAGCAGGAAGGGCACTGCTCAACCACCTCACAGGCATTTCTCCCATCTGCTATTTCATTTGTGCTAGTAATTGCCATTTCTGAACCTATCAGTTGTGATAGCAGGGGTTTGTACTGCTATTAACCGCAGCCCCACACCACATGAGGAGCCCCAAGTCCCTTTCTAGTGGGCAACAGTGAACATACACACCAACAAAACAGATGCAAGATGGCACAGGATGGACTCTCTCTATGTGACTGATACAGAAGGAGTTCTGCTTTTAGCATAAGCGAGCTCCACAGTAATACTGTCAGAAATGCTTTTTCAGCTCTTGTGATCAAAATGCAAATCTTGATTATTCATACATTACTTAAGTAAGAAAAAAGGCAGAATCAGAGGAGTGCAGCTCAGCTTGGAAAGGAGCCCTTTGGCTTTGCCAGCGTTAGCCATAGATGCGCTGCTCTTGGTTCCCCCCACCAGGAATGGGCAGCACTGAACCGCAGCTGGTTCCCTCATGTCAGAGCATCCCCCTTCCCTCCACAGGCCAGGATCCCCCAGGAACAGCCCTGGGACCAGGGGAGCTGCTGCAGGGCGGTAGCTCCATGGAGCAGGCTCTCGCTCCTCAGCTTCCTGCCTTTCTCCGAGGTATTTTGTTCCCATTAAATTAACCACTATGAGCTGTTTCTCTTCCTACTCACTCACTGTTTGTGTTTTGGTTTAGTTCCTTGCCCACTAAAGCAGCATGAGCCCCATTGTATTATCTGCCTCCCCTCTCCACGTCTCTCACTCAAACACCACCAGGTTTTCCTTTAAATAAAAAGCACTTAAGCAGTTATGAGATTGCTCACACATATTTGGCTGATGGGAATACCTGGAACTGCCTGGCCCTTGGCTTGAGCCTGTAAATAAAGCAGGTTTTGAAACTGAGATCTAAACCAGCTCTTTGGTTTTTAACAGCCTTGCCGGAGAGTCCATGGAACAGATACAAACTTGTGTCAAAAGAAAGCATCTGGAGTCACTTTTAATCCTATTTCAAGTAGCATTTGTTATTTTTCCTCTTGAACAGATAACTCCAGGCTCTCTCAAACCTTCTTCTAACCGGTTACTCTGATTAACTCATCCCCAGGATCCTGTCCAATCCCTCCCGCTCCCGTGGCACTGGTGGGAACACAAGGGCAGGTACGACCCCGCAGCCTTGAGGCTGGCGCAAACACCTGATGATGCTTTCACTTTTAAAACACTAATCAAAGGTTTCCATGGCAACCTGCAGGAGCAAGATGAAGACAGGAAACTACAGGTCAGCTCTATCACTGAAAGCAGAAAAAATCATTCCATTCCGGTGCCCTCGGAAAGTTTCAAGGTTACCTTGGATTGATTCATCAGGTTGCATAAAGGCAGCAAATACGCAATTGTAGCACAGAAACACCTCCTAGTCCTTTAACACTAAACTTGATCTGAAAGCCAGGGAGGAGCCTAACCTCCGCTCTGCCCCCTGCACCACCAGACCCATCACAGCACCATCAGAGCATCATTATATTCCCAGGAATGTGGTGACCCCTCCTGCCACTGCAAGCTGGGGCTCAGTGGGACCATCCCCTGCACCGCTCCATCCCGCAGCCTTCGTTCCACTCTCACACAGGTTTCCAGGTCCTCGCCAACCAGATATGACTCAACACCACACACACACAACAAAACTTTTCTGCCACTATTCACTTTCAGAGGAAGTGGAAAAAGGACAGAAAAACAGATCAGTCATAAACGTACTTTGCCAAGTGGTTCATGAGCAAGTGCAGCATCTGCCTGTTTTTCTCCGGGAGCCGATGGACGAGGCTGTGGATTTCTGACACCCTTGACTCCTGATTCTCCAGTTCTGCATTGGAAACAGGAGATGATTTATTTCTGCATTAGGGGAGTTATTATGCGAAGAGGCATGCAGGACCCAACACTAACACCAACAGATGTCCTGGGGACCTGCTCCACCAAGCACTCTTCCTTTCTACCAACCCCAACTGGTTGTTTCCAGAAGGAAACAGTGAGGTGAGAGCAGCCAGCCATGTGAAAAGCCAGCTGTGATCAGAGAAGGGGTTTGGCTGTAACCATCATCAGCACATTCCCATTCAGTGTGCTCCCAAGCACCATCAGGATGTGGCCAGCACTGAGCCTCGTGACACGGCAGCATCTGCTGCTGGTTGGATCCCCCAGTGCTGGCAGATGTGTTCCAACAGCCTATGCAGGAGCCGTTCAAGGCCATCACTGATGTGGTCACAGAGCACGCGAGCCCTCCTGACCCCTGGCTCCAGCCATGCACACAGGCTGCTGCATGTGCCAACAGTTACCTGCTCTCACTCAGAGCACCATGTCCAGGGCAGGCAAAGGAAGGCAGCACAGACACAAGAACCACAACCAACTGCATCAGATCCCCAGAGGCGGTGTTTGAACAACAGCCTCCATCCCTTGGGAAAATGATGGTCAAAGCAAGGCAGAGCTGCAGGCACCAGCCAGCTCCCCACTCCCCAGCACCACCTGCGCTTCCTTTTCATCTGGTTCAGTCCCAAACAACACCATGCCCCTTGTCTCTCTGTTCTCATTCTGCTTTCCGGGACTGAAGGAGCAGGAGGTCAGTGGGGAAGCAGCAGGGCAGGGGTTATGCTCAGTTACTTGCAAACTAGGCTCCTCTTTCAGACCGGTGCTGCCAACAACAAACTCACTTGCTGCTTTGATGAAGCTCCTTTGAAACTGGTACATCATGAGCGGCCCTGGAAGCATTCTGGAAGATAAAAAGGTAACACACACAAAACACATCTGAGTAACACAATCCACAGAAATGGAGCTTTGCCCTCACTGGTTTCAAAAGTGCAGAATTAAGCAACAGCAACTCTAATTAATTCCCCCCATCAGAAGGAATAAGATCGATAGAAGCACCTTTGATTTATTCTGCCTCCCTTTCCTACACCGCACTGAATCCATTTTTAACTTCAGCATTCCTTCAGTAGCACAGAGGTTCAGGGCATTCCTGAGCCCATGTGCTCCAAATCAGTTTAAAAAGAAATTAAAAAGAGAAACAAGCCTCATCATAAAACTTTACCAGTCACTGCTCCCACTCAGCTCCCCATTCTGCCCTCCCGCTCCCACATCCCTTCCATGGGACATCTCAGTGCTGCCGGCATTCCTCAGGGCTTTGCACAGTTCAAGCTCCAGAGCAAAGGTTGCCAATCATGAAAAGCGATGCTGTGATTTCCTAGGCTGAGATCCACCAAGCTAATTATCCTCATCGCCCTAATTGGATTTAGCCTCTCTCTTGCGCTCTCTCTCTAATAAAACCCAGTGCACAGAACAGCATCAGAAAACACAAAGCTGCAGCCGTGACAGGTAGACGCATGCTGTGGTAATGATATGCCAACAAACTAATCCTTTGGGAAGATAACCCACAGTGATAATGCCACTGACCTGCCTACAGGAATTATTACTACAGCAGAGCTCGGCATCCCGCTCTGAGCAGCACTACAGCCACAGCCCTTAGAGGATCCCTGCACTCACCGCCTGCCCCATGCTCAAGAGGCAGAAGCCCATCGGGAAAAGCTTAGGCAAAAACTGAAATCATGGCAGGGGACATAAGAATGGGCTTTTAAGACCATGTTTGTACCACATGCATCCATCAGAGAGCTGACTATGCTCCCCAGATACTCCTCAACCGTGCTGGAGGGTCAAGGGAAAAGCCAGAACCAATCCTCTCAGAGCAGTTTCTCCTTTGGTACTACTGAAGTGCTATTGTAAAGGATCTACAGTAACAGGCAGTAACACCCCAAACCATCACCGACTCCTCACAAGGCTGAGGCTTTCCTGCCTTACCTCAGGTATGTTTTCAGAGCGCTGGTAATGGTCTTTATCTCCCACTCGGCACAGATCTCAGTTTCTGTTTCAGAGGCTGTTTTGGGATCTAAGGAAGAAGAGAAAACAGAAAAAAGTGACCCACAGTGAATCTAATGCCAGCTCTCAGGAGCTCAGCAGTGCAGGAAATCCATCACATCCCATTTTATTTGCTAGTCCCCAGCCCAGTGAGCACAAGCTGATCCAGACACCTGTGCAGGGAAGCATTACATGAGATGGGCCACATTCACTGGCACGCAACGAGAGAAAGAAAGGGAAAACACGGACCACGAGCAGTGAGATCAGCAGTGTAACCAAAGCGTGACACACGGCACAGGAGGCGATGGCTCAGTGACAGCGGTGACAGAGCAGGGCACAAACACAACACAGACCCAGACAAACACAGACACCCCCAGGGCTGAGCAGGAAATCCCAGCCCCGGGCAGGCTGCAAGGCATCACCCCACTGAACCAATGTGGGAGGCAGCAATGGTGGCACTGGGGGTGTCGGGCAGGCCATGGGCGTGCAGGGGGGCAGGAGGTGGCTTGTTATCCTGGCCAAGGTAGGGAAGAGCCCCTGGAGCCATCCTGGGAAGCTGCCCTCCCACCAGCTCCCAGCACTACAGTGCCAGTGTGTGGGGGCAGTGCCTGAGCACTCATTGCCGAGCACTGCAGCATTCTCCTCTTCATCTCCTCCGGGGCCTTCCCTTCCTCTCCACCGTTTTTCCCCTCCTATCTTCTGAAAAGCTCCTTTACAGACATCACAAACCCACGCAGCTGTTGGGGGCCATCGAAACAAGCGGCTCCAGAGCAGCAGCCAGCTCCTTCCCAAGGCTGAGTTGATCTGAACCAAACCACACTCGCAGGGATCTGGAGCTTCCTGCTCCCCTGCCTGCTGCACACCACCCGCCCCGGTCAGGGAGCTGGATCTGTGTGAGCACGGCTCCACAGAGGGATCAATGCGGGGCCAGTTTTACGGATTCATAGAATCATAGAATCATAGAATAGTTTGGGTTGGAAAGGACCTTGAGATCATCCAGTTCCAACCCCCTGCCATGGGCAGGGACACCTCGCTCTAAACCATCTCACCCAAGCCCTCATCTAACCTGGCCTTGAACACTGCCAGGGACGGAGCATTCACAACCTCCCTGGGCAACCCATTCCAGTGCCTCACCACCCTAACAGGAAAGAATTTCCTCCTTATATCCAATCTAAACTTCCCCTGTTTCAGTTTTAATCCATTACCCCTTATCCTATCTCTGCAGTCCCTAATGAAGAGTCCCTCCCCAGCATCTCTATAGGCCCCCTTCATTCCTGCGAGAACACCCCAATGCGTTGATAATAAAAGAGCCCACGGGAAGGAGCGATTGCTCCCTCCTCCGGCACCTCCACCCATGCCGGGACCTCATCACCCCGGGATGCTCCTGGGTGACCACCACTGCCTGCACACCCGCCCCTCGCAAGCACGGATGTGGATGGAGCTCATGTCTGACTCCTCCCCGACAACCACAGTCGGTTATGTCAAAACCCACCAGGAGAGCGGGGCTAAGTGGCCCAGCCATGGATACCTCACACCAGCACCAAGGAACCAGCTGGCAGGACTAAAGACAGAGGCTGCTCCATGGCAGAAGCAGCCATGGCTGATGAGGAAGGAGAAGTAAATGCCGGAAAAAGTTGTTTCCCTCCTGCTTGGATGCTGCTTCCTGAATGCTCTTTGCTAACTCGGTCCAGGCAAACAGGCTGAGAGAGCTGGGCTGGGTCAGCCTGGAGAAGAGAAGGCTCCTGAAGGGGAGACCTCAGAGCAGCCCCAGTGCCTAAAGGGGCTGCAGGAAAACCCGAAGAGGGGCTTGGGACAAGGGCCTGTAGGGACAGGCCAAGGGGAATGGCTTGAACCTGCCCAAGGGGAGACTGAGCTGAGCTCTTAGGCAGAAGCTCTTCCCTGTGAGGGTGCTGAGGCGCTGGCACAGGGTGCCCAGAGAAGCTGTGGCTGCCCCATCCCTGGCAGTGCTCAAGGCCAGGTTGGACACAGGGGCTTGGAGCAAGCTGCTCCAGTGGAAGGGGTCCCTGCCCGTGGCAGGGGTTGGAGCTGGAGGAGCTTTGAGGTCCCTTCTACCCAAACCAGGCTGCGGTTCTACGGCCTCTCAACCTCTCCAGAGCTGAAGGCTTTGGCTGCACTGAGCTCTGGGCAAGCAGGACCTGGAAACAGGGATCCTGCTTCCACCAAAATCGCTGTGAAGCCTCTGTGGGGATGCTGGGAGACCCGTGTGGGTCCTTCCAATGACAAGGACATCCCTGGAGAGCTGGAGCAGGCGCAGAGGAGCACTCGCTGCAACCATGGCCGAGCCTGAAGCCAGGTAGTGCTGCCAACACCATCTGGTCCCAGGGCTCGGCTCGGTGGGGGTTTGTCTTCCCACCAACACGTACAATGAGCTTTTGAATTCTAAAGCAAGAGGTAGCACAGGGTAATTTTAAAACTAATTAAAAGAATGCAGTGAGGGAGTCAGGCTCTCCCTGGGGCACGGGGTTATTTTAATTACAAAAAACCATCAAGAGCAGCACCTGAAAACAAACACCTCAGAACTGTATATATCCACACCGGGATCACGGGTCCCTCACTGCAGTCACACAAATGAACACCATCCTTCCCCTCAATGCCAGGGCAACTTCCTGCTGCACCTCCTTTTGATGAGGCCCTTTAAAGAGATTAAAGGTGGCATAGGGAAAAAACAAACCAAAATGAAAATAACACAAAAACCCAGCCCCTTTTTCCTAGCCAGGCCTTCCCTGCAGGTGAACAAAGAGCTCAAGACTGGATGTCCTTCCACCAGCTCATCCAGGAGTTCACAGGCAGATTGATGGAGCCCTAGGTGAAACACTGCGGTCGGTGGCATGAAAAGGCTCGGAGTAGATCATCAGTTCCCCTTGACCTTCAGATTTATGAGTTGCAAAGGGTTTGGCTTTGTAGGTTAGTGATGGAGCATCTGTCTGCCCAGCTAGAGGTGCCTGCAGCGCACCGCAGCCACCTTCTGCCCCGCACAAGGACACCTTTCCACAGGATCTGGTGTAAATGTGAAACGGGGCTTGCAGAAGCCCCACAGGGCAGGTTCACTGTTAACCCTGACGTTGCTCACTGCTGCACATCACTCATCGGATGTCTCTTGCAAATACGGAAAAGCTGAAGTGAAAGGGCAAGGGGAAAAGAACCGGAAAAGAAACTTCCCCAAGGCTTTGAGGCTGAAGAAAACACACTGCTCCCCCTGCAGCACTGCTGGCTGCTGCAGCATCGCCCCTTCTCCCTTCACTCATCCTGCGTGGTCCCAAAGGAGCGCTTCTCGGCTCTCCCCAGGCTGCGATAAGGGGGGTTATCACTCACAGCCTTGTACGTGGGATATCTGAGGAAAGGAAGGGGAGCTGCAGCATTCCAGATCTACACCAAGAAGAAATTAGAACATGCCTTTTTATGGCAGGATCTACCAGATATAATAGAAAATAGAAATTCAGGGTGGGAGGAATCTATTCCCATTCCTAAAAAAATAGTTTTGCTGGTTTGTTTTCTTCCTGGAGGCAAACAGCAGCAGCAGCAGGGATGGCAGCCCCATTCACCTGCATGCATTCATCCCTGCAGACGCCAGGTGATGGAATGGGTGCCACAGGGCAGAGAATGGGGCTGGCCATGGCAAGGCAAGTGGGCAAGAGGGAAGCCCAGGCTGAGAAGACACCCCCAAAACTCCCAGCCATGATGGAACCACAGCGAGACACTGGTGTGTGATGCAGGGGATGATCCTGAGGCAGCTGCACAGCCCATCCCACACAGCCCACCACCCTGTTCAGCCCATCATCCCACACAGCCCACCACCCCGCTCAGCCCATTATCTCACACAGCCACTGCCCAAAGCCCTTTCTGAGGAACTTCATCTGCTTCCTGGGGATGGCAAAAGCTGCTGCCCTCAGACCTGGTTTCAATTCCCCACCAGTTCCTCCATGGCCAAGGGAACCTCCTGGGCACCATCCTGTCACCCAGCCGCAATCCTCACCCACGCCTGGGTGGCTCAAGGTATTTCCAAACCAGCCACAGGGCACACTATACCCCAGCAGTGCAGGGCCATAGGAAGCCCCACTCACTGCTAACATCAGGAAGGAGCAAGAGAAGATCGGGCGCTGTAATGCTCCACTCAGTGCCAGGTTTTGGACCCGCCAGTACCATCACCGTCCTGCACACACACACCTCCATCATAAACCCTTCCACGGGAGCTCTGACTGTTAAAGTTTGCTTGTTTGTTGGGTGTTGTCCCCATTTTGATGGTGCTTGGTGATGGTGAAGGGTAAAGGGCCGCTTGCTCTGCCTCCACGGCTCTGGGGAGCACCCTCCCCTTGGCACCCTGGCTGTGACAGAGTCCCCTGCTCTGCCCAAACCTGAGCCCTGACCCGGCTGCTGCCCACGGGAAGCCTCTGCCCTGCGGTCAGCCCAGGCGGTGCCGACCTCCCGCAGGGACACCTCATGCCAGAGGCCAGCCCAGCGGTGTCACTGACACCAGCCGGGAAACCCGAGCTCTTTGCCATTTGAACTGTACGTGAATCGGTACTGCTGCCCACATTCATTTCTAAATATAAAGGAAACCTGAAGTTGGAAGCACAAGCTGGCTGCTCCACTCACAAGGGCTGGATCCGAACATGGGGGGGCTGGATCTGAACACCAGGACTGGATCCGAACAGCAGGGACTGAGCAGAGCGGTGCCGGCAGAACCTCAGCGCCTCGAGGGCAGCCATGACCAGAAGGGGAACTGACAATGGACACGTTTCTGTTTGACTTCACAGCCAACCCTAGCGCTGTGATTGCTGAAGAGGATTTAACTGCTTGTGATTCAGAGGAAGATACCAGGTCCTGGGTTTGCAAAGCACTCCAGTGACTGACAGCATGGGAGATCCCCAAAGGGGGTCCTCTTCCTGCGCCCACCCGCAGCAGCACCCGCACGCCCTCGCCTCTAACGGGACTTCCAACGAAGACATGCCAGGACAAAGAGAACCCCGGCAGTATATCACCGCGTTATGAGACACGAGGTCGACAGCTGAGAGGCTTCAGTCGCCGAGGAGATAATGGATGCTGGATGGTGTCCAAGGCTTTGAATCCCTCCCAGCTCCGGAGAGCTCACAAACCAAGCAAGATCTGCCATCTGTCACCACCGCCACCCCGGCCCCGAATCAATGCAGCCCACGACTGCCCTTGCGAGAGGAAAAGGGATCTGCTGCTCCGCTCGCTCGCGAGGTGATGCCCAGCGGCATGAAAAGCAGCAGCAGAGGACATGGCATGTGTGCCATGAGGCAGCTCTGGTTATCTGCGGTACTTGGGTGGCCAGCAGGACATATTCACATGCCCCAGAACCTATGCCAAACGTCTACTAATAAAGGAGTCAGTCACCAGCTCTTGTGACTGCAGAGAGCTTTCCAAATGCCAGAGCAAAACCGGTGCAGAGAGGTCCCCTTGCGTCAGCCCCTGATTTAGAGCCTTACCCTTCTGCTTCCTCATTATCCCTACATTATCAATTTTGCATAGGTTAACGCTGACAACTGTAACAGCCACCATGGGCTTTGCTCAGTGAACAGCTTCACAGAGGGGAGAGAAGGGGGAGCTGGAAGAGGAGAAGGAAGGACGTTGAAAGTGAAACACAAAGATTCAAACTTTCTGCAAGGAGAAACAGAAAGGAGCGCTGGCATTTGGAGGGAGCAAGGGAAAGGAAGTCACATTGCAAAGGAGTCAGGCTACAGCTTCTCCAATGCAGACCAACAAGTATGACCCAGCTTGCTTTGCATGGCTGTGGGCAATGGAAACCCAAACCCACCAACAAGGAACCACTGCAGATGAAGCCACAGTCGTCCCAGACATGCTACAGGACCAGCTCACTGACAGTCCCAAGACCTGTTTGCTCCTGCATGTTTCAGTGCTCAGATTAGGCCCAAGTGAATGCCGGTTCAGAGCACAAGGCACCTGTAGCAAGCACCACAGCCTCCCTCTTGCCATCCTATCATTAAGTGTGAGAGGTTTCTGAGGGCTGCTGGGCAGATGCAGCGAGGCTGCACATCAGGACCAGTGATCAGAGGAGCCACAGAGCATCAACACCAAGCTCCCAACACCTTCTCTCCTCCTGAGCACTCAGAACCACAGCACCAATGCTTTGGGCACGAGGCAAAGACAAGCTTGAAAGGTCTGGGTAAGACTGTGTTAAAAGAGGCATACAAAGGTCCAAGGGAAAAGCAAGAGCCACAGGCAGCATGCAACACACAAGAGAAAATAATTAAGAAGTACTGTGGGAACAACGTGGTGGGTACGAGATTAAACCAAAGCTCTCAGCTATTCCTTTGAGGATTTTAGTTTGCATTTGGGAAGGCTGCCAAAATCCATAGCGCAAGTGAGCAGGACACCAGTGACTGCACCAGACCTTTGAAAGCCATGTCCTACACGAGTCCTACCTTAGCAACCTGCCAGTGGTGCCCTGGGACCTCCCGGCCTCTAACAGCATGGGGTCCTAAGAGCACATTCACCACAATTAGGTACCCCACAAGAGCCTCCGTTCTCAGCTGAGACTTCAAAGCAGCACAGTCTACTTGCCTTTAACAACACACAAGATACTCACCCATTAATATACTCAGCAGCTTTTGAACTCTGGAGTTCACTCCAACGATTCGGTAGAGCCCTTGCTCATTGATCCCTAGGAAGAATAAAGAGCTTATTAGGAGAATGTCACAAGAGCTACCAACATTTCTTTGACTTCCCTAATAGCAAAAATAATCAAACCCTCTCACCAATTACAGGCAAAGTTATAGAAGAGGGTAAAATCTGGTTTGATGTCAAGGCTTTCTTGTATTGATTAAAAGTATTACCCTCAATTAGCTCAGGAATAAAAGATCTAAGGACACTTTTCCACCACCCCCCAGACAGCAAGGGAGTTATGGCTGCAGCACAAACCACCTGCACTTAACAAACAACACAGGGGCCTTCACTGTGTGAAGGGAACTCAAATGAAGTCCCAGCTTCAGTCCCTTCACTCATTTTGCACCTCCAGCACATCCCTTCCTAACCCTGCCCTGCCGTTTGCTCAGCCCCTGCTGGCTGCAGCCGCAGGGTGAATGCACATCTCAGCAAAGGCAATGCTGAGCACACGCACAGGGTTTATCTGCTATGGGCCTCCAAGGGGTAATGCATCATTCTGCTCATGAGAAGCAGCAGGTAAGCAATGGCTCCTCTCCACACAGCTGTGAGCAGCCCCCCAGACCGAGACCACCTGGTGATCTGCTGTACCTCTTGTCTCGACAGCATGTATGCACTTCTTGATAATGCTGAAGCCGATGTTATCCAGCTGGGCAGCTGCAAGGGGAGAGGAGAGAGAAGCGATGAACACCTCGCAGGGGGACGGCTCCACACCGGGCACAGCACTCACCCACAGCCAGTGCTGATGCTGCCAGCAGCCCTGGACCACGGCTCGGGTGAGGTGGGGAAGGAGGAGGTAAAGGGAATCACACGTTATTTTGACACAACAAACCCTTGGAAACAGCAAGCAGCGTGCTCGAGGAGCCCCAGGGACCTCCTGCTCATCCTTCCAGCTCTCCACCTAGCTAACCAAGCTGGAGAGATGCCTTCATCTTGAGGCCATCTCCATCACCACTGGAGACTGCTGGTGTAGGACTGACCTCCCAGGCTTTGCCTGGGGAACTGGGGTGCCTTGGATTCCTTCTAGGGGCTTTTGAGGGGGTTTTGTGCAGATGCAGGTTTTCTCAAGAAGCCATATGAGAGGTTAGAGCACTGAAAAGCGACGGTAAAAGAACTGGGAAAGAAACAAACAGAATAGAGAAGCAGGAGATAACTGTGAGCAACCACTGTGAAGGAAAACAGTAAAGAAATCAAAAGAAAGGTGAAGTGTGGAGGTAGAAACATAACATGGAGAGGAGAGAGCTAATGACTTAGCAGTAGAAGAGTGATAGGGACTGGGAGATGGGAATGGATTTCAGGTCAAATCTCTGTGGAAGCATCTCTTGTGCCCAGGGAGAGCAGATCTGGCCCTGAGGAGCCAGGCAGCACCATCCCACTGCCTGCACCCTGTCTGCATCACACCTGGGGGAGGGCAGGAGTGTCTGCCTCAAGTGATGCAAAGGCCAAGCTAACCAGTACTGCCTCATGAACACTACTCATTACATCCCATTCACCCTCACTCGATGCAGATGTGCACAGTTCAAGAACAGCCCCTTCTTTTATTAGCACAAATGAAATATTTATTTGGTGCAAATTAGGATGTCCTGAAGGCAGCTGCCTCTGCCTAAGAGCAAGATCTAAAACATGAGAGTTAATGGGACGTAAAACTCAATTAACTCGTGCCATTGCAGGCTTTCACATTTAATTTCAAGGAATTACTAATACACAGGTCCAAATACCTGCTGGAACAATTCATCTTGTACTCAGCTCCCCACCACCATGTGGGAAACACTGCCTGCAGACAGCCATTTGTTAAGGAAAATGACTTCTCCCCTATGTAAAGGTTTAGGAAACCTTCCATACAGCAGAAGCCTGCAGGGAAGTGTGAGCAGAGTGTCCTGGCATGCAGGCCTACACCAAAACCCTTTTAGGGACGCATCTGCCCCTGCCACCATCCCGCCTTCCCTAAGGGAATGCCGCGTTGTAAGGGACACAAAACTGCATTTGATGGAGAGCGCAGTGGGCAGGGATCAGAGCCCGGGGCTGGCAGCGTCCTCGCAACACAGCACGTGCAACCTCAGCCCTTGCGTTCCCCTTGTTCACATCGTTACTTAATCACAGAGCCTCTGGTGCTCCGCGAGGAGCTGCCAGCTGATCGCCTGCCTGCGGCTTGCTCAGTGCAGGCCCTTCCTAATCACTTGAGTTCTCTGCTGGTGCCGTTTCTTGTTTGATGAATGGCACAAGAACCTGAAACACTGGAACAGTAGCGCAGCACTATTATGTTTTTCTGGGCAAGCACACTGAAGTGCCAAGCCAACATAAGCACACAAGTTGCAGGATGCCTGTGCCATAGGATGTGTGAATACCCCAGAGCTCCCACGGCCCTTGCTTGGCACCTCCAGGGCTCTCCTGTGCTGCTCCCAAGCACTCTGCAGGCACGGATGCAGCATAAAATCAACGCGGCATCCACCAGTGGGTCACAGCCTGCTACAGAATCACAGTCACAGAATGGCACGGGCAGGGACCCCTTCCACTGGAGCAGCTTGCTCCAAGCCCCTGTGTCCAACCTGGCCTTGAGCACTGCCAGGGATGGGGCAGCCACAGCTTCTCTGGGCACCCTGTGCCAGCGCCTCAGCACCCTCACAGGCAAGAGCTTCTGCCTAAGAGCTCAGCTCAGTCTCCCCTCGGGCACGTTCAAGCCATTCCCCTTGGCCTGGCCCTACAGGCCCTTGCCAGAAGTCCCATACCCCAGATCAGTGACAAACACAAACACAAGCACAAAGATACCTGAGAAGCAAGAAACCATGGTGCACAAACCCTTCTGAAGAAGCAAACCCAGTCTAGCAGGCCTTATTAGCCTCAACTTAACACTGGCCATAACACTGACCTCTTGGTACCCCAGCATGGTCCTGTTCCACCCAACACAGGAGCCTACCACTTCAGGCTCTCCACATGCACTTGAAGTGCCAATCCATCCCATAAACCAGCAGTGCTCCCCCAGTCCCTCACATGCCTGAACTTGAGCAGAAGACATCTATAGGTGTATGCCCCCCCCCCCCCCAGAGCCCACGACCCCATTGCTGAGCAATGGGCTGGAACCAAACCTTCCCAGGTAAGAAGCCACCCAGCCCTTCTGGGTGGGAGCGACCAAGCATAATCCTCCTAAGTAGGTGAATAAGCTCTTCCACTCGTTGGCAAGCTCTGGACCAGGAAAGGTGAGGGATTTATCTGCAGTAGTTACATCCAGAAATAATATCAGATTAAATACCCAAAGTGCCTTTCTTCATCCTTAAATTTCACTTTTAATGAGCACTGTAAAAGCCTGCTTTCCCCTCCCACAGAAGCAGCTTCTCTTTATCTCATTCATTTACCCAATGATTCAGTTCAGCTGCAGCACAGATCACACCTGGACTGGGAGCTGCTGCTGCCCAGATCTTACACTTGCCCCAGCAGCTCCATGATCCAGAGCCCTGAGCTTTGGTTCAGCAGCTTGGACCCCACTCAGCTTCTGGTTGAGAGTGGCTGCAGGTCAGGATGTGGTGAGAAAGAAGGGGCAAATGATGGCTTCCCAGGGCTGGAGAGCAGTGCTGCATGGAAACGCAGCTATGGCCAAACCCAGCCTGGCCTGTTACAGCCCCATCCTCGTCCCTGCTCTGCTCCCTGGCAGCTCCATGCCCTGGCAGCAGGATCAGTGCAGTCAGAGGGTTCAGCAAGATTGGCAAACAAAAAGGAAAAGAAAGGAAAAATAAATAAGACCCCCCCCTGCTCTATCAAAACCCCACCAGAGCCACGTCTCCAGCCAGCCAACCCCAGTGAGAGCGCAGTGAGAGCTGCTGCTGTAGCAAGGCAGGGGCAGGACCCATGGCCCAGCTCCGATGGATCTAAGTCATTGTGGAGCTGCCTCCTGCCATCACTGGGGTCCTGAAATGGAGAGGGAAGGCAGCAGGGAGGTGCAGACTCAGAAGCCTGGCCAGTGTGTTCCTCCACTGCTCCCAGCAGGCACCTCTAATCCCCAGCCTGGATCTGAATCAGTGCCTCAGCCATAGCCAGGAGTGGATTTACAAACTCCTATTACCAGAGCAGTATTTTCTCCATTCATGCACTCAAACGCACAGCAGGGGCAAAGCCCACAGCCCTGCCTTCTGCTATTCCCTCTCCCTGAGTGAGGCCCTCATTCCCCAGGGGAAAGATGTAAAACACAGCTCCAGGCCAGGCTCCGAGCCACCGGCTCTTCACACAAGAGCAGCATTTCGATGCAGAACTGACATGCAGTATTCATACTGCAGAGACGTGTTTTACATCAGCGAAGGCGATACACGTCACTTGTATTACACACACAGGCAACTTATCTGACCTTCGTGTATCAACACATTCCTAGCACTACCGAGTTGGTCTCCTCCTGTTCTATTTTTGCCTAGCAGATTATTTCTATTTGATCCATTAATTCCTCTCCTTTACGCTGATACGGCGTATCAGAGCATCGGGAAGGGGGTAAGACGACTGAATCAGCTCTGCCCAGCTTTGCTGACTCCAGCTGTGTGCGTTGGTCACGGCCACACAAGGTCACAGTGAGCTCTCCTGCATCCCCATGCACGTTTCTGTGCCATACAATGACGTGCCTCCACCGTTACTGCTATGGATTCTGTCCTAGGCTTTATGGACTGGAGAGGCACGGAGAAAGGGAGAAACCGAGAAGCAGAGACCAGAGAGAAATGAGTCAAAGTACCAGTGAGCTCCCAAGGGTGGGAAAGGAGGATTGCCGGGCACCTGCAGATGGGGCAGGTCAGGGGCTTAGGGTCTGTGAAGAGCTTATGAAAATAAAGCAAGCTTTTGATGGAGTCCTGAGCTAACAGGGAACCACATGGGTATGGAGAAAGGAGAGGGAAATGGTGGCAGGGGAAGGGACAGGAGTTCTGTGATTTTCCATTCAATAAGCACAAACGGTCCGTAGGATTTGTACCCACAGAGCAGGGCAAGTCCTGGTTTGCAACCCAGTGCATGTAAATCCACCTGGCTCTGGTGGCTCACTGACACCGCTCACCCCCACGGCTCAGCACTGCTTCCTCCCAGCCCCGAGGAAGATCAGGATAAATCACCCTGCAGGCCCATGGCCATCTGGCCACACAGCATGATGCAAAACCCAAAAGCTCTGTCAAATCAGATAGAGGCCAAAAAGCAGAGCTCGATACAGCATTGCGAGTCTCCTTCAGACCAAGCGGAGCACAGGCAGGAAGCAGAGGTACACGGGTTTTGGGGTCAGGAATTGCATCCGACTCCACTCAATCACTGCACTCATTTCGAGTCCTCATAGGAAGCGCCTGTATCAAGGGCTGCGTGGCAAAAAGCCAGCCTCTAAATCAACTCTAAGGAAGCAGTTCACTACAGACACAGCTCTAACGAGGGCTAAAGCAGACTCAGATGTCTGAACACAGCAGCGGAGCCCTGCTCGGAGCTGCGTGTGTGAATGATTGCCACCAGACGGCCTGAAGCCCTGCTCTGTATGCAGCCTGCACCCGAGGGTGCCAATGCGCTCCCTGGTGCCGGGGAAGCACGGACAAGGGGGACAGTTCTCTTGTTTAAGACAAACATCAAAATGGAAGAGGTACTAAAAGATAAGACGCTTTGCCAAAGCCTCCCCGGCTCATCTGGTGAAGACACGCAGGGAGAAACTTGGCATTTGGTGTCTCCATCCAAGTCTCCCTACCCTTTGCCAAACCCCGAGCTGCTCCGAGAGGCAGGACCAGCGTGTGGGATGCGGTACCACCAGCACTGCAGACAAACCCCATCCACAGTGCCGGGCTGGGAACCCAACCATGGGAGCTGCCACCAGCCTGGGGACAAACTGGCTTCTTCCTCAAAGCCACCAGCACATCCCCAGCACGGGCACCCCGCTGGGACTGCATGGGGCTGGCAGCACAATGCACCCGCCGCAGCCACGGTCCGTAACCGAAGCGCAGCAGCGGTCGGCAGCACCACTCAGCCCATTCTGGTAGCTGTACGTGGGCACTTACATGCCAGCACCAGCCACCATAGGCAGCCCCATCACCTGCAGACCAGCCCGGCCCTGCCCACACCTCTGCTAACACAGGCCCTTGATGAGGCTGTGGACAACTAACCATGGGCAGGAGCTGGGCTTCAGGGTCAGAAAGAGCCTGAGTGAAGCTCTCACCTAAGGAAGCCCTTAAAGACATTTTCACAGCCCCAACCTGGGATCTGTTGCCAGCTTGGCAGCTGAAGACCGGGATTAGACCATAGGAATAACCCTGGGGAAGTCATGGACACACTTGACTCAAGCTCTTACCACCTCTAAAGAGCTGCTGTTACTTTGCAGGATGACTCCAGCGTAAGTCACAGCCCCAGGAGGATTTCTGGCTGACAGCACGTAAGATGGGAAGGTCACGCTTTGACAAGTGCTTCTTTCAGAAGTGGTAATTACTTCACCAAGCCTTCCTCCCACCCCTGGTGTTTTTTCCCTGCTTCTGCATCACCCCTCAACAAGACTTAGATGATGGTTATTATAACACCTTCCTTGAGCCAAGTCACCACGCACTGTCCTGGCAGAGGCAGAGGTTGTGCGCAGGGAACAGGCAGAGCAGTGACAGTTCATAGCCAGGGTAGGACACGATTGAGCAAGTTCTCTGAGCCTCAAAAAACTCACTTGGCCCCTCGGTAAAAGATGGAGCGCAAAGCCAGGAGGAATACATACAGAACAAGGAGGATGTGCAGCACAGAGGGAAAGGGAGAAGCCACATCAGAGAGAGCAGAGAGGACAAAGAGACTGTTTCATGCAAGCACCCAAATTGGGCGTGAGGAACATTATCTGCAAATCATACCTATTATTGGGAGAAAAATGCTTCGGCTCCAGATGAAAATGCCCTGGCTGAGGCAGCATGAAAATGAACTCTTTACTGCCCATCAACCCAGGCTGGGCTCCCTGTGACCGATGGCTTCGGGGGAAGGAGGGAAGGGATCGGAGTTTTGAGTGTTGCAATTATGGCAATTCAAACCTACTGGGAAATGGCTCAATCAAGGGTTTTGGAACACAGGACAGATGAGTCCGGACCAGGTGCAACTGCTCCTCTAGGAAGGAAATCAAGCACTTTCTTGACTCGAGCCTGTGATTGCCCGAACTACAATAAAAACAGCTTTTGTATGTTTAAGGGCTCTTGCTGACAACTCTGACTGCACAGGACCTCCTCACTCTTTCTATTTGTGCTCCAATTCCCCTTTGGAAAAGGCACACTCATCCTCCACATTCTGGTTCAGAAAGGAGAGCTGGTTAGTCAAAAATGCCCTCTGCACCATCGCTGTGATAAGGGACAGGAACTGGTTCCAAGGCATCCCAGCATCACTGCTGCAGTCTAGGGACACCAGGGAACTAGTGTGCAGGAGGGGATGTGCCCAAGTTACTGCTGGGCACTGCTCTCCATGGGCCCAAGTCCCTCCATCGAGCTCCTGCACCAGTTCCCTGCTGGGTGCCAGATGCAGCTTTGCACTGGGGCCACCCTATGGTCCCCACACTGAGCCCCATTACCCCACATCCCTGCCCAGGGGAGGACAGCACAGCCCAGTGTCACCAGCACCGGCAGCTCAGCATCTCCTGCTGACCTGCCAGAACCTGCACACCACAGCACAGGCACCTTCCCTGGGGTCTCATTGGGAAGAAATACTTACTGCCTTCGCTTTGGTTGTCCTTGTTCGAGTTGTAGACCTGGAAAACACAAGAAGAAAGCCTTATGAAGCTCTGGATGCACCGGGAAGGGACTGCCAACACATCTGGGATCACCACGACTGGGGTCTGCTCTCAGGAGGACCTGCCTTGACCTCTCCCAACAGCAACGTCCCCAGAGACCACCACAGCCTCCTGCATTCAAAAGCTCGGGTTGCCAAAGCTTTGAAGTGGTACTGAAATAACAACTAGGTCAGGTCTGAAAACAAGAGACTGCAAATGGGATGGATTAGGTAAAAACTAGTTCTAAAACTAGAAACTACAGCAGCTTCTAAACAAAACCAAGGGAGGGCTGGAGCAGCTGACATTTAAAGTTCCATCCAACCCAAACTATTCTATGGTTCATCTCCTCTATGCTCTTCTCAAAGAGGTTATAGACTTAGAGCAAGGCAGACAATTCCCTTTGCATCTTACAGGCATTGCAGGACCATCTGGTAGGTACAACTTGGTCAAGCAGCAGGAAGCCACCCTCACTCACAAGTGCTTACAGCCTGCATAAAGGAGTCAGGCAAAGATCAAGAGAGGAAAAGAAATGTCATTAGCTTAGAGAGGACCTGAAATGCATAAAGATGAGGTAACACACACAGTGACAGAGCCACCCTCTGCGCCAGCGCTGGGGCTTCATCCCCCTCCTATCTTCAAACATCATCATATCACAAAATCCCAGAACCCCAGCCTGGTTTGGGTGGAAGGGACCCTAAAGCTCCTCCAGCTCCAACCCCTGCCACTGGCAGGGACCCCTTCCACTGGAGCAGCTTGCTCCAAGCCCCTGTGTCCAACCTGGCCTTGAGCACTGCCAGGGATGGGGCAGCCACAGCTTCTCTGGGCACCCTGTGCCAGCGCCTCAGCACCCTCACAGGGAAGAGCTTCTGCCTAAGAGCTCAGCTCAGTCTCCCCTCGGGCACGTTCAAGCCATTCCCCTTGGCCTGTCCCTACAGGCCCTTGTCCCAAGCCCCTCTCCAGCTTCCTTGTCAGCCCTCTTCCTCCGGTCCCTACTGCTGCTGTACTTCAGCTACTTTATATTAGAGTAGTGGATATAACAGAAAGAAGGAAATTAATGGCAGAAGGTTTTAATCACAGCTTGAGAGCGATCTGAAAGCGCAGCATAAGGAGAACTGCGGCTGTAAGCAGCTCAGCGCACACAGGTTGTATTTCTCCAGCTCAAAGTGTTTAAAAATAACCCTTCCTCAGCCCAGGGCAGCACACACACACACACACACACACACACACACACACACACGGTGCTGTGTGAGTGCCACAAGCAGGAGCTGAGTGTGGCAGCATCCATTAGAAGAGGACAAAGGCCTGTGCAGGGTGGTACCCACAGCATCGCCGTGCACACCCTTCCTCTGCCGGGAACAAAGCTGGGAGCCCCTTCCACAGGGATCCGGGCCGGGGAGCGGAGCCCATCACATGCTCCCTCCAGAAATAGCAGGCGGGGAGGGAAAGTTTCCACAGGCGCTGTTGATAGCAACACACGAGGCAGCAACAGCCACACATCCGCAGGGAGCAGGAGAGGCTCCGAGCTGCAGGCAGGCGGTTCCCAACCTTCTGCTGCAGGCTCCCAGTGACCAACATTAACATCGAGGAGAGGGACTCGGAAGCCGCCCTCGGGTGCAAGGGTCTGGTCCCTGCCGTTGGGGTGCCCACCAGGAGCTCCAGCAGAAGCACAAGGCTGCAAGATGGCAGTGTGATGTCCCCAAAGGAGCAGTGAGCACAGACCTCACCACTGGGTGCCCCAGCACCAGCCCGATACCCACATCACCCACAGCAACCAGCCCACAGAGGGCTCTGTGTCACGTAGCACATCACCCACAGCCACTTTAGCAGATGCCTGCCTTGGAGGGCACCCAAACACGGGCTATTCCCATGCTCCCCTGCCGAGAGCCACCGGAGCTGCTCCATGGACACGCTGTGGGGCAGAGAGCAGCTCTCACCCCACACACAGCTGCATTAGAGAATGAAATGAACCTGATCCTTTGTCTCCTGCAGGTTTAACAGAGGGAGGAGACCTGTCCCTCGATGCCATCCAGGGCAGCAGGACGCTTGCATCATCTCCGCCACCCAGGACACAGTCAGGGAAGCACAAATCTAATGGCATAGCTCAAAACTGGGGGCTTGGGCAGAGACTGAGCCCTCAACACTAATCCCCCTCTCCCTGGAACGTTTCCCAAGGAGCACATTCCCTCTCCCCCAGCCAGGGCACCTAGCTATGCCATGCAAGACAAAAGTACAGGTTTTTTGTCTGCAAGAGAAAAGCGATCATCCCACATCTGGAACCTGGGGGATGATTCAGCAGCAAACCCAGCTGCAGTCAGCACATGAGCTCTCCTCCAGGAAAAACTCATGTTTATATTAAGAAAAGAAGTGAAAAGAGGGAAGGAAACCAAGAGCAGGCTGCTCCCCCAGCACTGCTGCCCTGGCCACGAAGCCAGCCTTCCCCAAAGAACCTTCCCTCTCCAACTTCAGTCCCTCTGTTGAGGGCTCACTGCGGGGACACAGCTTGAGGTGACTCCTATTCCAAGGCTTGCAGAGGCACAGCCTTCCCCTGGGAGGCCACACTGCAAGCCCTGCGCTGCGCCCTGGCTCACCCAGACACAGGGTTAACACCACACACAGTACCAGAGGACTGGGCTCTTACAGCTTTGCTTTTCCATCCTTCTCCCAGGCCTAAAGGAGCAGTCGTGCAGCTCAAGTTATGGTGCACAGCGCATCAGCTGCAGGGAAGAATGCGTCTGCCTGCATATTCCCTCTTCTAGTTTGGTTACATGAGACTACAGAGAGGCTGTTAATCATCAGAGACTGATCTTTAATTAAAGAGAAAAGGACAGACCAGGAAACACGAGATGCCCATGCCATTAATTGCAAAGCATGCACATGGTGAAAAGGAAATTTCACGCAGAGGTCAGCTATGCAACCATAAAACAAGGAGATAATGCCACCCTCCATCCATCTTGTTAAGGACAAACCTTTTATCCATTGTCAGTGTGGTAATCCATTAACACCACTCTACAACATCAGGGTTTTAACCAAGCCCCAATTCTTCAATATGATTTCCTTCTCCAAGGAAAACATTACTTTTAAAGAGAAATCATTTTCCTGCACCGCCTCAAGCCTTTTGAAGAGCCAGATATTTTTTAGGGTAAGAGGAATTTTCCAGGATTGAATCACAGAATCCCAGACGGGTTTGGGTTGGGAGGGACCTTAAAGCTCCTCCAGCTCCAACCCCTGCCACGGGCAGGGACCCCTTCCACTGGAGCAGCTTGCTCCAAGCCCCATCCGGCCCCATCTTAAAGGCAGGTCCGCTGCAGGGCTTAACTCACAAAGATGCATTTCAACATTAAGCCTCACATGCAAGTCAGTTGACGGGGCAACCTCCCCCTCTGTGAAAGGGTGCTGCATTTTAAAGAGGTTTGTCCTATTCATTACACCCAAGTCTCCACCGATTACTGACAAAACAAAAATTACAGACTGTGCAGCCAGGAGCATGTTTCCCCTGCGCCATCCTCCTTGCAGCTCCATCACAGCACCGTGCTCTCAGTTCATCCTTACAGCACTACAGATAACTATAAATCTAACCACTTCTAAGGGAGGGAGCACTGGAGGCCCTACACTCCCCATGCACAACACCCCCTGCAAGCCACCTGCTACTGGTGAGCAAGCTCCACAACCCAGTCCAGAACAGCAAACCTCAATGTATGCAGAACCTCAGCACTGCTGGGGAGGCCACAGTGAGCACGGGTTGGCACAGGGCTCTGACAACAGTGCCAGCATGGGTGCAAAGGGACAGTGTGGCTGCACCCCGCAGGGTGACCACATTTAACATACAAGAGGTTTGAGAACAGGAGGGGTTGGGCAGGCAGCTCTGCAGACACATCACCCAGCACAGAGCCAGATGACAAGATAGCATAAAACACATGTGTTTTTATATATACACACACCATTTTCCTGTTGTTAACACGCTCTGGAGAAAACAGACCTAAACCCAGAAAGCTTCTTATGAACCAAAAAGCTTCTTTCGCTTCTCAGTATTAGTCACTGACAGAGGGGAGGAAATCTGAAAGCAGAAAGCTTTGTTGAGAGGTGAAGAGCCTGCATCCCACGTACCATGGGTGGGAGCAGGCACAGTGATAGGACTCACAGAACTGGGGCCAGTGACTAACTGGGAGCCAAATCCCTGCCCTGCAGCACTGCACTCGCTTAAACATCACACTTTCACTATTCCCGTTTATTCATATCTTCAGAGCCAAAATACCTTTACTAGGAAGTTTCAGAAGTGATGTGTATAGAAAATAATATATATTAACCTAGTACATTTGCAGCCCTTGATGCCTTGAATTTAGTTTTCTAAATTCATGCTGTAGATGGTCAAACATTCTGAATAGAATCAGATCCTATCTTCTTTCAGTGGAAGCAAATGCTGCTTAAATTCTGCAGACTCACTGCAATTAGGAGGCAAAACCAAGGCTTTTACAACTTATTACTGAACAATTGCACAGACACCACTCCGAGCCTGATGCCACCCTCTGCTTGTGCATAGAGAGACCAAGAAGAACCCAATCCATCAGTTTTCCAACCTGCTCCTACATAAATCATGCACACGAGCATGCAAAGAGCAGTCAGGTACGTGGATGGTTTGGGATGGAGTTGGATTGTGGGAGAAGAAAAGGAAAAGGAAGTAGCTGGGGTTTGGAAGGGGAACTGAGAAAAGATGATGTTGAGTAATTTTGTTTCCTCATTTCAGGGTTCACGCTCCTGCCCATGGTGTCTCTTAACCTCCACAGTGCATTAACCGTGCTCTCACACGCAACTGCATTTGTGCACACATCCTGTAGCTGAGTATGCTGCATTTCAGACACAAAGCAGGGTTTTATTTAAAACTCAGAAGGGCCCAACCTAAGCTGTATCCCTTGGAGGCTGCGCAGAGCCCAGCACAAAAATCAGCTCCCAAAACCTTTCAGGTTCCACCATGGGCAGGGAAG